TGGCAGTGTATATCGAAGATCTGAAATAACATTTTATCTTTTGATGCAGTAATTCCTCTTCTTGGGATTAAGTCTAAGGAAGGGAACAGAAATAAGAGAAAATTATATATGAACATTTTCTTTACAAGGATTCGATACAAGGATTATAACAATATCTCAATGTTTGAAATAGTCTACTTACCTAACAAATGAGAAATGAGCAAATTATAGTAAATCCAATATTGTGAGTTGTTTGCGAGTAAATTTTAATAAAGAAAAATAAAGTCAACTGATTTGCCAAAAAAACCTCCCAAAAAAACAATAAAAAAATGGGCAAAGGACATGAACAGATGTTTTTCCAAAGAAGACATACAAATGGCCAACAGATACATGAAAAGGTGCTTAGCATCACTATTAAGAAAAATAGAAATCAAAACACCAGGTGGTATCATCACCTTCTATCTGCTAGAATGTCTATTATCAAAAAGACAAATGCTAGCAAATGTGTGGAGAAAAGGGAACCCTTGCTGCATTTATTGATAGGAATGTTCACTGGTGCAGCAACTATGGAAAACAGTATGGAGGTTCCTCAAAAAAATTTAAAACACAACTGTCATGTGATCCAGCCATCCCAATTCTGGGTTTATATTCAAAGGAAATGAAATGACAATCTCAAAGAGATATCTGCACTCTCATGATCAGTGCAGCATTGTTCACAATAGCCGAAGTACAGAAACTACCTAAGGGTCCATTAGTGGATGAATGGATAAAGGAAATTGGAGACACACACACACACACACACACACACACACACACACACACGACTATTGAGCCTTTAAAAAGAAGGAAATGCTGCCATTTGCAACAACGTGGATGAACCTAGAGGTCACTATGCTAAGTGAATTAAGTCATAGAAAGACAAATACTGCATGGTATCACCTATATGTGCAATTAAAAAAAAAAAGAAAGGTTGAACTCCTAGAAAAAGAGTAGAATGGTGATTGCCAGGGGCTGAAAAGTTGAGGAAATAAGGAGAGTTTGGTAAAAGCTTATAAAACTTTTCGTTTTAAGAGGAACAAGGTCTGAGGATAACAACACTGTAGTGTATAACAGAAATTTGCTGAGACAGTGGAACTTAAGTGTTCCCCCCCAAAATAAATACTGGAGGTGATGGATATAGTCATTAGCTTGATGGGGGGGGTCCTTTCATAATATGCATCTATCAAATCATTACATTATATATTTTAAACATCTAAGAATTCTTTTTGTCAATTACATCTTAAGCTGAAAACAAGAAAAAGAAAGTGAGAAACACATTATAAAACCACAGGAACAAGGTAGTAGAACAGAATTAAGACAACAGGTATTGGAATCTGACTCCAGCCATTAGCTGTGTGATCTCCAGCTAGTTGCTGCCTCTCTGTGCCTGTTTCCTTATCTGGTAAATGAACATGAACCCAATAACTATCTCATTGGGCTTTTTGAAGATTAAGTGAGTTAATACAAGGTGCTCAAGTATTCTTGAGTATTTCATATCTGGGAAATACTCAACATATGTTCATTATTATTAATCACCTATATTATATTGAACATATTTGTTATGAAAATATTGTTTCTAAGAGGCACCATTATGGGGTTTATTTTCCTCTTTGTACCTTGCTATATTTTCCAAATTGAAATCATAAGTATATACTTTTATGAATTAAAAAAATATATATGCAGAAACATCTGGAAGCCCTTGGCTTCCAGTGTCTTGCACACAACAGTTCATCCAGACACTTGCTCTAATGGCACAATGGGTTGTCCTAGGCAGCTAATGCCAAATAAGTAATTTACATCCAAGACTGGTGAGAACTGCCTGTCAATCCTTTACTGTTGAGTTTCCTTAGGGCAATGCCTCACCCAAATCCCCCTCTGTGACCATCAGCAGTTTCTTCCCTAGGCTCCTCTCACTGGAATAATTTCCCCTCAGCTACCAGCCTGGTGGCCACCTTGCCAAGGGCAGAGATCACACCCTCAGTAAATGCTGGTGAGTTGACTGAATCTAATATGATATCCTGAAGAATAAAAACATAAAGTCAGCACCTTATTGTTTTACACAAAGTATCCAGTTTTCAGAAAAAAAAATTTCTCACTTTTTTTCAAAATGTTTTCTTTCTTTCTTTTTTAAGATTTTATTTACTTATTTGACAGAGAGAGAGATCACAAGTAGGGAGAGCAGCAGGCAGAGAGAGAGGGGAAGCAGGCTCCCTGCCGAGCAGAGAGCCTGATGCAGGGCTCGATCCCAGGACCCTGAGATCATGACCTGAGCCAAAGGCAGAGGCTTAACACACTGAGCCACCCAGGCGCCCCTCTCACTTTTATATACATCACCACTCCAATTAAGCATTCTCAAGGCTTTCACTACATTAGGTCCTTAAGGTAGGTTTTCCAATGGTGATAGAGGAGTCATATAACTCAGATTAAATTATGACTAAGTGAAAAAAGGCACCTTTTTCAAATACTCAGTTCACATTTAGTTGTATTGTAATATTTAGCTTCAAAAGGTAGCTTTGGGAGCAAAGACTAATACAAGAACAGCTGCCTCAAAACAGTATGTCTTATGTTTTATTGTCATTTTAGTTCTAATCCTTACCCCCAAAGCTTCTAAGATGGGAGACTTCCAGTCTTCGGAGAATATGAATACACTAGATTAGCAGTTCTCAAAGTGTGGTCTCCAGACCTGCAGCCCCAAGATCAAATGGGAATTTGGAAAAATACAAGTTCTCAGGTCCCACCCTGATCTACTGCCTCAAAAACTCAGAAATCTGAATCTGTCCCTCATGGTGATTTGGATGCAGACTCAAGTTTGAGAACAACTTTTCTAGACACATGAACCCAACTAACAAGTATTTAGCTGTTTAAGTGCCAGGACAAAATATGAAGCTGAAGCTTTGGTTGCCTGGAGATAAATTCCTCAGGGCAGAAAATAACTTGTACCCAAGCTTCTTGCTCAGGGAGGCCCGAGACTATAGTGATATGACAATTTTGTTGCTGAGCGAAGACTGAAGAGAAGATATCGGGGAGAAAAATAATCCATGGATCTAGAGCAGAGTGGAGGGTTTGAAACATCATCACTCAATTTCAAGCTGATGACAAGAGGCAGCAGTCTCCTGATGGCATGAAGCAGCATGCTGAAGGTAAGAATTGGATCTCTCCGATTTGCTGGAAAACTCATTTGGGAAAGTCACAATCTTAAATGGCACAAATGCCATTTTTAAAATCCCAATTTTAAAATCCCTATATGAATGCTCTATGGCTTTAAAACCAGATGCTACTGACCAGTAATGAAATCTTCCAGGACCACACTAGATAACAGAAGTGGTTTCATCAGATTCAAGATAATTGATGAACTGTAAGGTCTAGACCTTCAAAAATCTCAGTAGAGAGAGAGTATCAGAAGCTTGGGAAACAAGAAAGCACATAAGGAAAAAAATGCACCAACAGAAAACGGGACTACTTCATTAACCCCGAGTCCTTTCAAATGTGCCCCCTCTTCTTGATGGACATACAGCTTCACAACAAGCAAGAGACCCTACTTCCCAGTCTCCCACGTGACTAAGTCCAAGTCAGTAGAAATAATGACCAGATTCTTAAGTCACCTGCTGACAAGGACATCCATTTCCTTGGATTTTCCCCACTGCTGGCTGGAAGTAGGGGCAAGGGAAGCCAAAGATGGAAACACAGAGCTACACCACTGGCCTGGGTCTCTAGGGGAGATACAAACCCCTGTGGTCTCTAAGCCACTTTACTGGTAGGTCTCTGTTCTAGCAACGTAACTTCTCTCCTCCTTGTACAGAAAATAAGGGAGGCAGGCAGGAAAAGATAACAGAAAAGATAAATACTATAGTAATAAGCCATCGGAATCTGTAGTAGAGAAATGTACTTCATTACACAAGGAAGGGATGAGAGAGAAATCAGCCATAGTAATTAGGGCTTTGCCATTCACTTAATGAGAAGAGAAAATACTTAACAACTCTCTGCATAAACAAATATTATTTTGGCAAAAAGCAAACAAAATAATGTTAAATGTATAAAAATGAGGAGGTCTGGATAACAAATGAAAAATATTAAGACAAACTGCCAACAACTTGCTGGATCCTAAGAAAACAAGAACATTAAAAATTCCTTAGGTGCTATTTTTAAATAGCCAGAAAGCCTGGTTTAAAAATATTAACCATTCTTTTCTAAAATATAACAGTTAATAATAGGTATACGAAGAAATGAGCCATATAGCCTTAAAACATGCATGGTCAACTTATTAAAAGCCCAGGGTTATGGGTTTCATCTAATCAAATTAATACAAGCTTTTCCGCCAAGAGGAAGACCAGACTAATGAGAGATCGCAATGGCTAGAAGCTGCGGGGAACACCTTAATGAGAAGAACGGGGCTCAGTGCTGGGCGTGACTAACTCAGGTCCACTCTTATAATAGATTAAGTAAGTATTAATGAGACAAACCAGTTGGCATCTCACCTTTTTTTTTTTTTATGGGTTAATGAATTCCACAGCTTTGTGGACATCATCAATCTTAACAGTGAACATAAGTCGCCCACATGTCTTGAGAAGTGACGCTTGCCAAGGGAGACAATAAAGATTTGAAGATGCTGGACTCTCCTGGAGAAGAGAACATTCTGTCTCCCAGTGAAACACCAAGAAAAAGCAGAGCTTTAATTTGTGACCTCCAATCACAGGAGGATCTTTAAAAAAACACAAATCTTGATGAAGTTATTTTAGCTTCCCAAATTAAAGTGTCATTAGTAAACCTTCAAGTACTGACTATTCCTAGTCTTGAGTTCCCACTAACTTAGAGGTGTTGATTAGGTTCCAATGCAGTGCGAGTCCACAACCAAATCTATTTGCAAATTCAGAAGTGCCTGCTTCAACTTCCTCTGCTAATGTGTGGATTCTGCTTACAAAACCCACATGAATGATCCCAAAGCTTTGATAAAAACAACAGAGAAGGAAAAGGAAAACCACTTATTGGTACTAAAGCCTTTACTGTAATAAACCAAATATATTTACAATTTATACAAATGTTTAACCTTCAACAAAAATACAAAAAAACATTTCACAAGATGCAAAACCAGGAAACAAGTTCATTGGAGACAGCACTGCTCTACGAAGCACAGAACGTGAGGGGAACCGCAAGGAACAGGAAGGTAATCTCGGCAGATCACACAGACAGACAGGAACAGGCTCTGCCTACACCCCTTGGCCCCTCTGTCCACTCTGCCTCAGTGCTCCGTTTAGTCTAGGTAGATAGGTGACCTTCAGCTGATAGACTTGTTGCCTCCTCTCTGTAGACTCAAAGTAGTTTCATGTCAAGGTTTGGAAACAGGTTTTCGTGGTTTTCTTTCTTCCTTTTAAAGTTACAACTTTTCTATTTCTACAAATTCTCAAAACATTTTGGCCCGATTCAACTATAAACGTTAAACCACATCATGTTTTCAGTAGATGACTTCATAGACTGTAGCCTTCTTGTCCCCTGAGCCAGTGACTATGTACTTATCATCCACAGAGATGTCACAGCTAAGCACGGACGAGGACTCTTTGGACTGGAAGAGAAAACAATGGGCGCAGTTTTAATGGGAACAGAGATGCTCAGGGCCCCTGCTCCTCCCCGAGCTGCCTTCACTTCTGGAGTCCTGGAGAATGCCCCGATCAAACGGTCATTCTGGGCAAGGAGCGCTGACTTACTTACCTGGAATATACTAGCTCCGTAGGGGGTCCGCCAAGCATTGAGGAGGTTGTCTTTGCCAGTACTCACAAACCATTTACCTAGAGTTCGCAAAGGAACATGGAGGTAAACAAGATTAAAATCCCTCCTTAGCAACCTGGACTTCATCAAACTTAGAGCATTTCTAATCATGAACTATCATGTCTAAGTACTTGGCTAGGATGGGAGTAGAGAGAGCAGGTTTTAAAACCAGGCTCCACTGTGAACCATCTGTGGTCTTGGGTTTTGTCTAAGCAGTGGCAGGGACCGTGTCAGCCCCACAGGCCACCGGATACACTTCAGACAGGATCACATCCAGCACACAGTGGGTCCTCAAATAGTGAATCGATAAAGATGCTGACCTTGTAGTCCGTTTCCTCACAATGAAGTGGGACTAGGAAGGATTAAACGACAAACTTAAGAAAAATGCCAGACATGATATATGGCACACAGAATGTGCTCAGTGACTAATGGCTATTCATTCCTCCATCCGTCTCAAGGATAAATATTTGACTCCACATGAACTTCTCTCTTCATCTTCACCGCAGAGTAGAACATTGTGGGGTAAGCTGAGTATGCCCTTCTCTGATCCTAGTTCCCTATCCTGCTCAGTCCATAAGGAGTTCCAACATGGCTGCCCCAGGCTTCTGAAAACCTTGCCCCGCTACAGAGTGGTAACTAATTGCCCTCCACCTCTGCGCTTAAAAAAAAAAAATAAATCTGTGTCAAAATCTTGTATTAGGCAACTGCATCCCCTGCTGACTTTTCTCACATTAGGAAAACAGGCTGAAACGACTTCACGATGCTCTGAGGGACATATTAAGACAGTAGAATTACTGCATCCAGCTGCTCAGAGAACATTTTTTCCAGATGTGATCTCTACTGTATTTTTTTTTAAAAGATTTTTTTTTTTATTTATTCATTTGACAGATAGAGATCACAAGTAGGTAGAGAGACAGGCAGAGAGAGAGGAGGAAGCAGGCTCCCCGCTGAGCAGAGAGCCCGATGTGGGGCTCGATCCCAGGACCCTGGGATCATGACCTGAGCCGAAGGCAGAGGCTTTAACCCACTGAGCCACCCAGGCGCCCCTCTACTGTATTTTTTTTTAAGAAGTATTTTCCATTAAGGCCATTGGTGTCCTCCAGTTTCCTTTCAGCTCAACTCACCACAATAAGCAAATTTTAGGGATAGCACACAGCTCTCATGGAGATGCAGCTGGTACTTGTCAGGCTTATTCACGTGAAGAACTTCCACATTGCTACTCTCCATGCCCACGGCCAGCCACTCCCCAGTTGGGCAGTATCCAAGGGAGAAGATCTGTAGGAAGCAGAACAGGCTTGCTGGTGATTTTGCCCAATAAACCGAGAAGTGAAATGGCAACAAGAAACGGGTAAAACAGCAAGAAGAGGGGGATGTAATCCACAAACTCTGGATTGCAGTAAAGTCCACAGGACAAGAGACCCAACACAGACCAGCCAAGTGTTAAACACCTTTATGAAAACAAACAGAAAGCTTGGAATACATACATCACATGTGATGAAATTATTCTTTGAATACTTTTTTAAGTTTACTTATTTAAGTCATCTCTACCCCCAATGTGGGCTCAAACTCATGACTCTGAGATCAAGACCCACGTGCTCTACCAACTGAGCCAGCCAGGTGCCCCAAGAAATTATTCTTAATAATAATGACATCTGTGTGTATATGTATGTTTTAACGTGGTCCTTGTCTTCTGCAGATACTAACTGAAATGCTTGTGATGAGATGACTTATGTCTGGGGTTTACTTTAAAACAATCCAGTGCAATGAATACTGTTAAGCTGAAAAGAAATTTAAAAAATGATAAAAAAAAAATAAAACAATCCAGTGTTTGGGGGCAGGAATGATACGGGAGACAGGTCATGGGTTCACAACTGTAAAGCTGGGTGACGGGCAAGTGGGCTTTATTGGACACTTCTCTGTACTTCGATATATGCAACAACAGTCTCTGCACTCGTGTACACTTGAAATTTTCCATAAGATTTTTCTTTTTTTTTAAAGACAGACTATAAACAGTACCCTAACTCACACTGGGAAAAGGGCTGGAATGAGTAAGACTCTAAGAAATTCCACAAAAGATTAACAGGGACGTGAAATTTAGTAATATGCATAGCTGTACACAAGTAATGATCAAAAGAACAATTCCACCCACAGAAGACACTTAAAATGGCACTGTCTTTCCCCAAACAAGTCTAGATTCAGACGCTCGCCATCTAACTCATCCCCACACCCACGAAGTTGCCATTTCATATCATTTCAAACCTCCATTAACCTAGTCAGCCACGAGTCCCTTTTCCCAGGGATGCATAATAAAATGGGCATCCACAGAGATACGACTGCCTTTTTTTAAGCTCCCCGATGCAAGGGAAATTAATTAACTTCCAGAGCTGTTGTGATTTTTCTCAAATCCTTGTGATAACCCTGCCTATTTTTCAAGCTGCCTTTTTATTTTTTTTTTATTTTTTTTATTTTTTTTTTTTTAAAGATTTTATTTATTTATTTGACAGAGATCACAAGTAGGCGGAGAGGCAGGCAGAGAGAGAGGAGGAAGCAGGCTCCCCGCTGAGCAGAGAGCCCGATGTGGGGCTCGATCCCAGGACCCTGGGATCATGACCTGAGCCGAAGGCAGAGGCTTTAACCCATTGAGCCACCCAGGCGCCCCTCAAGCTGTCTTTTTATATGTGAATCAAATAATCCTCTCTCACCCCCCACATTGGACAGTGGGAATATGTTCCAACAGGTCAAACCATACGTTCCTCACTGTACGAGTTCCTTCAATGAACTCATCCATAAATCATAAACAAAAGTAACAGGTCTTAACTGATAGGGTTTTAGAAACCACTCTAAGCATTTCAGGGATGTTGCCTGTCTGTCCGTGGGGGTTGTTTTTGTTTGTTTTAAATCGGCATCTCAAAGTCAAGACTGGTGCCTTTTTCTTACTATGGTGGGGTGTGAAGGGAGGGAGAAGGATGCCACTGGCAGACCAGCTCAGAGATTCCCAGGGTGGGGGTAGGGTGGGGGGAGCTCGTCACCTGTGAGGTGAAGTCGTGCTGTTGCAGCTGCCGCCCCTCGCGCAGGTCCCAGGACCTGACCGTGTTGTCCAGGCCGCCCGTCCAGAGCTTGGTGCCGTCGTTAGAAATGTCAATACAGCTGGCCCCATCTGTGTGGCCCTGGAATTGCCTGATAAAACAAACCAGATTGAATAATGATTTCCTGCCAGAGCTCAAGGTAAACACTGTTGTGTTGTTAGTTTTGGACGTGGTGTGTGTGTGTCATCTCTTCAGTGTCTGCTGATGTGCAAGATCACACCAACCTTCCCCTGAGGAGGAAACAGCACCTGCAGATTTTCCTTTTCTTTTTTCACGGTCCAAGTGCTAAAGATGTGGAATGCCATTTTAGGTCATCACACAGGAGAACTTAAATACACTCTTATAGCTCTTCTTACAAATCGTCTGGAAGGGAAAATTCCTCCCGGGTCTGGAAAAGTGTTTGAGTATTAAAGGGGAAAAAAAAAACAAAAACAAAAAAAAAAGACAAACACACAGAATCCCGAGTATATTCTGTAAAGAAAGATGTAGGCCTACATCACAACGTTAGGAGCTCGGGGTCCAGAAGCGCTTACTTTTCCATGAGTGAATCCATAGGGCGATGCCCTACATGGCAACAAAGCATGAGCTCACATATTTACTCAACCTTGCTTTCTGGATTAGAAACAGCCCTGCATTAGGAAATCTGGACTCCCGGAGACAAAGGGTCATGCTGGCCTCCTGACTCAAGGGCCAGCATGAGACAAAGTTAATTGCTGAGGCTGACCCATGGGCACCTCAGCAGGGACCCTGCCTTGAAGCGGAGCACAAGGTTGTTCTCTTCAAGGGAACTCTAGTGCTTCAGTCAAACAACACTACCAGAGCCAATCAACCAACAGAGGTTTGCAGAGCACAGATGCTCTGCCAGGCCAAAGGCGGGTGGTTTGCTGAGGGAGAGGCTAAGGTGAGCCACCGCAAGGTTGGTGATCTGTGGATCCAGACCCAGTTTTGATTGCCAAGACAGAGCCAGCAGGGATGTGACCAGAACAGGCCCAATCACTATGGTGAACCAGAAGGGATGCATGAGAATGGCTCGGGAATTTCAACACCCAAAGTTTCTAGGTCTGTCCTTCCTCTAAGTTCCCCTCACTTTATTGTTCCCACAGAATTCCAAACTTTTAAACTGAGCTTAGAATTTGAAGAGCGTGGAAGACAAGACAAAAGCAGCACTTGCCATGAATTCTGAGACAAGATGACAACTATCACTTCAAAAACTATTCCTCTAAAAATTATTCTGAATGTCCATCTTAGTCCTCTCCCCCTTATGCACCTGACTGTTCCCACCCCATCCCATGCACGCATACCCCAACCAGCCCCACTTTCCTCCAAGACTCCCCACAGGTCACACAGGACTACTTGAAGTCCCAGACCCATCTTTTGAAAGTTCTACTATTCCTTTCCTCAAACTTTTACTCCTTGACTAAAAATGGTTTTCTCTACAGACTTGAGCCGCCTGGTGGCTGCTCCTCCAACCTCTGTCCACAAATCTTGGTGCTACTCTCAGGCTCCTAGAACGGAGGTGCTGACCGTGCTGGGTCTTGGTCGATACTGAGATATTCAGCGGACTCTATGACACCCTCTCACACAGAGCAGCTGTTAGCCACACGTGGCCAACCCAAAGTGAGCAAGAAATTCGTAAAGCACTACCCCATTATATCCAGCAGGTGTTTACTCCCGGGGGCTGAAAGAGAGCAGGAATTCAGAGCACAGACATGAGAACAGCATGCCTGCACTGCATCTTGTCTCCCCCGCACCCGACTGTGTGAGCCAGGCAGGCAGACTTAACCTTTCTCTGCCTCAGGTTCCTTACCTCTAAAATTGGGATAATAGCAGTGCAGCTGTTATAAGGATTAAATGGATTAATATTTGAAAAGCCCTTAGAATAAAAATTTTGAAAGTGCTATTTATTGAGTAGTTTTTTTGTTTTTTAAAGAAGAAAGAAAAAAAACAAACAAAACAAACAGCAAACACTGGCTAGGCTAAAAGTTTGAAGGGACTGTCTGCTGTATCTACTTGTGTCCATTCTGCTCATTCTGAGCTGCCAAGAACATGACAAGAGAAAACAACAGCAACAGCATCAGCCACACACAGGGACAGAGCCTGACTTAGTGACACTGACTGGATTCCTACGGAGAAGGTTTGGAGGGAGACTAAGCTGCTATGACTTCGAAAATCCATCCCTTTGCTCTGGCACAGGGACCCAAAGCATCAAAGGAGCCCTGCTAAATCATCCACCAGCCTACCACCACACCATAAACAAAGAGCATTTCTGAGCAAAGAAAATAGGGAACGAAAAGGTAGAACACAAGCCAGGTTTACCTGGGATGTTTAGTGCTTCCCTTTGTAAAGACTTTTCTATAACATCTCTGGTGTGGACTCTGACTTCAGCAGAGGGAAGGAGCTGGTCAGAGCCAAGGAGAGACACAGAGGTGGCAGGACTGTGGCTGTCACCACAGTTAAGAGGATAGACTTCAGGAAGGCAGGCTCATTCCTGGGTGGAACGACACCTGGACAGCACTGATTTAGTAACTGAGAAACATGCATACTTTAAAACAATTTTGTGGGTGAATTTCACAGAATCAACCTCTTAAAATAAAAAAATCATTTATTTGACAGAAAGCATGCACTCACAAGCAGGGGGAGCAGCAGGCAGAGGGAGAGGGAGCAGCAGGGTTCCCACTGAGCAGGGACCCAGACTCTAGGCCCGATCATAGGACCCTGAGATCATGACCTGAGCTGAAGGCATCTTGAGCCATCCAGGCACTTCTGGAATCTCCTCTTCTAATGTCCCTTTGTTGATTTTCTGTTGTCCTTTATCACTCTGTTCCTGTTTCCCCAACAAGGTTCTAGCTAAAGCCAAAAGCACCTAGTATCAAGGACCCTCCGTACCACCATGTAATCCATGGTATGTATACTGTCCCTTGGCAAAAGTCAGGTATATTTTTTGAGTAAGTCCAGCATCTGTAAGTGGCTAGAGAATGGGGATGTTAGGGAGGTAATAGAAAGTGTGGAGGATACCAAGCATGGCAGCAAGGCTGTAAGCCCCCCAGAGGGCAGCGTCAGTTTTGTCTTCACACTCCCAATATCTAGCGCTCTAAGCCCAGCACACAGGAGGCTCTTCACATGCGCTGAGGGCCTGCGTGAAGCCTGAGAAGCAGGAGGCCTTCAGGCCCAGGTACCCAAGGAGGGAACCCCCACCATAGAAAACTAGAGTTGCTCACCTCACCAGCGTCTGGTTGTGCAGGTCCCAGACGGCGATGTTACCGTCACTGCAGCACGAGAAGCAGACCTTGGAGTCGGGGCTGATGGCCAGGGCATAGCACGCAGGGGCCGAGGAAGTCAGCTCTGCCTTGATGCGTGGGGTCGGAGCCGCTAGGTCCCAGATGGACAGAGTGCTGGCCTCCCCTCCCACGATGAGGGTACAACCATCAGGGAGCAATTTGCAGGAACGGATGTAGTTATCCCTGTTCTGTGAAATAAACATAGCTACATTGCTATGATGCATGATCAAGCAATAACAATACCATGCTCTCTAGCTGCTATCTTGATTTTTGACTTGAAAAAGTGGTATTTCACAGACACCAGCAGGGCAAGAGTTCTGTAGCAAAGACTGAGATCCAGTTGTAACTTTCCCCTTTGAAACAGTCAACAAAACAAACTCCAAGGCTCGCTCATGGGCAAACACTTAGATGGAACTTTTCCTGACATCCAGTTTCCTGCTGAGTAGAAAGAATCGAAATGATCAGCAGATGCGAGGTATGTGTGTACACACTTCTCTGTGAAGAAACCACTTTTCAAAGCTAGTTTATAAATCTCTGACCTCATCACCCTCCCTTATTTACTATTTGGAAAATGCAGACCTGCTGCCTATGTTCTGGTTTTCATTACTTTTGAATCTCTATCTAAGGCTTCCTCAAGGGGTAACACGGCTGCTGCCATATTCAAGCCTCTCGGTCCAAAGAAATTGATAAAAGAGGGCATTTCTCTATCAAAACCAGCACATATTTAAAAAAGAAGGTGGGAGGGGCATGTGGGTTGCTCAGTCAGTTAAGTGTCTGACTCTTGATTTCGGCTCAGGTCACGATCTCAGGGTTGTGGGATCAAGCCCTGCATTGGGCCCCGTTTATGGGCATGGAGCCTGCTGAAGATTTGTTCCCTCTCCCTCTGTCCAACCCCTCCTCTTAAAAAGAAAGAAAAAGAAAGGTGGGACCTAAAATGACCCTCCCCTCCCTTAAAGAAATAATTGCTATCCTTCAACCCAAATAGAACTGAAGTTTTCCCTATGCTTTGACCATGGCCTATTATTCAAAGATGAGAAAAAACTTTAAGCATGTAAATTTCAACAAAGGTGATGAGGGTCACAAAATACTCTTACTATTATAGAATGTCGGCCTATGCTGAAACATGTTGAAATTTCATTAATGGAGATCTTTTAAAGTTATCTGATTAAAAAGCAAATCAATAACTACTAGAGAAAAAAAGCTGTTGTATCTCAAAAAACACTGCTGTTCTTCTTTTTGAAACCTCTGGCTCTGGAATCCTCGGCAGTGGCTGGGCAGGCGGTGGGTAAACCACACCGGCCGCCATAGCAGAGTGTGGGCAGGCTCTGTATCGGGGGTGAGGTGGCCCTGATTCTGCTTAAGGCCAGTGGTACATGGGCTGTAAAATCTGGGCTCACAGTTTATAGAGATCGGAACATGTCCCAACATGTTCTGTGATCCTGAAAAATGCAAAGCAGTATTCTCCTACCCTGGGAGCAGGCTGATGGAGTAGAGCACTCCGGGAAAGCATTCTCACCATTCCCGGTTTGCTGGTGGCCGCCCCGTTTTCTGGCACCGTGATCTGTTAACCTTTCCTGAAGTTAAGGTAATAAAACCCAGCCAGCCCTCCCAGGTCTCCCTGAAAACACAGACCCTGTTCAGAATACTTTTTTATGCCATGTTATCAAATGTTTACTATTCAATATTTATCCGAAGGCTGTAGGGAAATTAAAAGTTGAGTGGATTGCAGGGCTCAGAGTCCAGACCTCGCTGTGCTTGCATGCATTAAATGGGAAACCCCCTTTGGAATACACACTCAAACAAGGACAGCTTCTGTAAACTACTGTAAAATATTTTTTAAAAGAAGTCCCCCAACTCTGGGATTTAACCACCCAAAGAGCAACAAATGAAGCCTTCACATTTCAGGGAGAGGGATGGGGGGGCTACACAGCTAACGCAGGAAACAGAAAGGGCTTCCATTTCCTCATAATGGGAATAAAACCCAGGCCCAAACAGCCATTTCCTTATTGAGTCTCCAGGGAGACATTACCCTCGTGTGCCAGTTCCTGTTTGCTCACCAGACAGTCGAGCTGAGAGACGGGGCTCTTGTTGCCGGGGTGGCTGATGTCCCAGACCTTGACGCAGCCCTTGCCGCCCGTGTACACGTGTCTCGTGGGGTTGCTGATGGTCACCGCGCACACCACCTCACCGTGGTTCAGGGTGTTGATCTGGCGCGCGTGCCGGGGGATTCCGGGTCCGATGAGGGCGTCGGGGGGGAAAGGGACAGGCTGCATCTGGCCGTCTGCGGTGACATGGAAGGAGTACGCACTTTTGGAAAGGAGACGGTTGGAGAGAAAGACGGGAGAGGAGACAGAGAAAACATTTATCATAAAGCAGTTGGCCATTAGCTCAGCAGCATTTATGAGGAGGACAAAGGGAACAATTTTCCTGAGGATTTTCTTGGAATCAGTAGAAGCTAAAGTATTTACCAAAGGAGCAAATTTAAAATACGTAACAGAAGTCTAGAGTATACCAAAGGACAGGTACATTGAACTTTATTTTTTAAATATTTAATTATTTTTCAATTGTACCTGACCATTCCATAAGGCATTCCTTCCAATCACATATAAAATGCTAACTACGCTTCCAAATTAACATAAAATACCTCCCTCCATGTACCTTGTAAAATTGTATGATTTCGGGCGCCTGGGTGGCTCAGTGGGTTGGGCCACTGCCTTCGGCTCAGGTCATGATCCCAGGGTCCTGGGATCGAGTCCCGCCCGCATCGGGCTCTCTGCTCAGCAGGGAGCCTGCTTCTCTCTCTCTCTCTCTCTGCCTGCCTCTGTCTACTGTGATCTCTCTCTGTCAAATAAATAAATAAAATCTTAAAAAAAAAATTGTATGATTTCCTAGCATAATTTTAAATGATTATTTTTTATGCTTCAGACAAAGCCCTTAAGAACTCCTAGTAATGTCACATAGTAAACAGGATATTTCAAGACTGACAAACAAAAGCAGTTTTCTAAATGTACCAGTTTCAGGCTTGAATTTATTCTCTTTGGCATAATCAAGAGAAAATAATAAAAGATTCTCCTACATCAAATAGGTTGGCGATAGATTTCAACTTTTCTCCTTGACAATCTCCGTGTTTCCCTTGGCCACGAACCCACTTTATCTAAGGCAGCAAAGCTACTCTTTGCTTCTCTCCCCAGCTTTACCACATTCTCACCACTGAGATGTACAAGGCTCAACATACATGAGCTGCGGGGTGGCATTAAGCTAATAACTTCCCAGAAAGTAGCTCTGGGGGATGTAGAAGCTCTCTGTACTTTTGGCTCAATTTTGCTACGAACTCAGAACTGCTCTAAAAAGTAAGGTTTATTAATTAAAAAGAATTTTAAGGGGGGTGCACTGGGGTTCCTGCCTGCCCTCTCTTCTTACTTCTTCCTACTGCTTTAACTGTGAGCAAGGTAACGAGAGCTCCACAAGCCCTTGGGGGCCACAGCTGACTCTGAAGTTGGAAATCAATTGCTGAAGGAAGTAGAACCCAAAGATAGGATGCAGAGGCCCTGGTGACACTATGGGGCTGTGATACCTGCCCTGGGCTGCTGACAGCCGGTATCTTTTACGGGAGAAAGAAATAAACTTTTTTTTTTTTTTTTTTTTAAAGATTTTATTTATTTATTTGACAGAGATTACAAGTAGGCAGAGAGGCAGGCAGAGAGAAAGGGGGAAGCAGAGAGCCCGATGCGGGGCTTGATCCCAGGACCCTGAGATCATGACCTGAGCCAAAGGCAGAGGCCTAACCCACTGAGCCACCCAGGCGCCCCGAGGAAAATAAACTTTTATGTTACTTTAAGATCTTGTTTTCCTCCCCTGTTCAATACGAACAAACCTAATCCTAGGACATTCTTGTTTCTACCCCAAAATCTTAAAGCATATTTTCTGCTTTAAAATCTAATGATTTAAACTCCAAGCACTAATATATCACACACATTATAAAACATGCACAAAGAAAAGATACTTCAGAGGATGAAAGATATAGAAGTGCTAATATCTACCCCCAACATCCAAACAGATGGATTTATGGATTTTGAAGAGCACTGCTTTCGTTTTATTCTTCTCTGAAGCATCACTAGGCATTCTAGTAGCTCAACATGAAGCCTTTTCTATAGGTCTGCTTACATAACAAATGAACTATGTAGAGTTTCCTCCTTCCTGTGACCCTCTGGGATAAGTCTGGGCCCTTTCTGGAACTTGTCATTGGCACCTTGCAGTCCCTTTACAGATCTGAAGACTATGGGTATTAACACAGAACTCCAATTTTCATTTTAATGCTAACTCAAACTTTGTAAAATAACTTAGCATGCACAAAACAGAAAACTGACACAGGATATCAGGTTTCCAACCTGCTTGCACATAAAACCTATGTACTTCCCTAAGCTTGAGAAGAAAATATATGCTATTATTTTTGCTCTATGAAAGGAAAATATCAAATACATAAAGGCTTGAGAAAGAACTTCCCCTTCCCCCAACCAAAAGACACGATCTTAAATATATGTTATTTCCTGACAAACTGGTTCCAGCAACTAATATTATGTGGCTAGCTGGACCAAATCCTTAACATTACTCTTAATTTGATAATTGAGCACATAATGGGAACCCTATAGAATGTCCTAGAAAATAAATATGCATATAGAACAACTATAGCTCAAAGCCCCTACAAGAAAACAAGCCACTAAGTCCCCTATTTTTTATGCAACAGTACCCTTTGGTGTCTTTAGTAACATCTCAGGCCCACATGATATTTTAATACATGTGCATTAGAGTTAACAGAACCTATGCCATTTATTATGGGATATTCAGAGCTGGAATCAAATAGCATTGTATGGCCCTTGAAGATGGGACCACCATAAGAACTGGAGTTTAACTCTATTCATGTTCTAAAAGAATTCTTCAAGGTCCAGTAGCAATTATGTGACCCCCTAAGCTGGGTCTGAAAATGACAAAGAACTAGGTAAAGCTGGAGAAATGGCCAGAGTGTTTTCATGAAACAATCAAATGGAATGTATTTGGTTAAAACAGTGCCTGACGTGGGGAGAGAACTTGCCTCTTAAAGCTTTCTGTGTGAGAATAATGGCACATGTGAAGGTCCGTTTCTCCATCAGCCATAAATCAAGGTGGGCGCCTCCAGGTAGGCAAACTCCCCGTCAGGCTCCCTTTCAGCAATTCTGGAGTTTTAGGGTAAGAAAATTTTACCTTGCATCACTTGGAACCCCTCTTGCTATGGAGTTCAGCGTTCCAGGTTAAAACAGATGCACAGAGTGTAGACAGAAAGCTGTACACCCATTTTCGGAAGACACCCGTCTCTCTCCCAGGTATCTTCTTTAAATACACAGGAGGTCTGTGATCATCATACCGAGGCAATTTAAAATTGATTCACAGAGCAGTGAACTGTTGCCAGAAGCTGGGAACATTTCTGGGTCCCCAGGGAAATGCACATGGATGTTAATACATCAGTCACAGGGGGCCTCACAGGAAGCTGGTGCTGCCTGCGGTGCCGGAGAGCCTAATCAAATGAACAAACCAGAATGACACAAAGGGCTGATGGGTCTCAAAGAGGGATCAACTGGAAGGAAAAACCAAGGGAGCCGACGAGAGTCTGGAACTAGTTATTCACCTACAGGAAGTACAAGCATATCACTGAGCAAAGGCCCCACTGATGGCATATCATGACGATGTTATAGACATCCCAGAAGGAAACGGGAGATCCTCTACTTATTGAAGAGCTAGGAAAAGTAAAATCAACCAGGAAGGGGATTGTAAAATAAAAGTAAAATCAACCAACACGGAGCGAGGATTTATAAATATCTCCCAAGCCTACATTCAGAAAGAGGCCGGCCACTGAAGAATGCATATGGAATGACTGGATTTATAGAATTTCAAACATGGGTAGAATTCATCTGTGATGTTAAGCCAGAGGGGGTTGGTTCCCATCAGCTACTGGAGAGGACACAAGAGGGGCTTCTACAGTGAAAAGTCACTTAGCTATACACACGATTCACTCACTTTTCCCTATGTCTATCTCAATTTTAAAAGCTGAAATTTGTTTGTTCACAAAAAAGTCGAGAGGGCTCCTGACTGATGATTAAGTGGACGAGGTCCACGGCCAGGACAGAGCCCAGACTCAGGTGTTAAATGTACGGGAGATGCCCGGCTCACTGGCCTAACTATGGCCATCCTTCCTGGCCTATCTGCAGCCTATTAGCATGTCCATTCCTGATCCACAGGACAGACATATAACCAAGTATGAGGGATGCAGGAGTTGCTCTAAGGGTGAAAAGAGCTGCAAAACCATTAAACACTGAACACCATGCTCCACACCTACAGGGCCTTCAGAGAATGGGAGCATCGATATCAAACACACGACTTAAAAAGAGGAAAGTGAGGGTATGCTGAATCAAGGGCTCTCTTATCAACCAGTGGGCGAGTGTGGGGACCAGGAATGCAGAAAGGGAGGAAGGTGCCGGGGTGTGCATCAGGAAAGCATGTGGCAATGACAAGGCAAAGGAAATCCATAGATCCTGAAGGGCGAGAATAGAGAGACAGCCCTTGGCAAAGAGAAGAGGACGTGTAGCTAGGACCGTGGCAAACGTGAGGCAAAAAGGGCGAGTTCCTCGCACCCTCATTAGGGGCAACACTGCTGGCGCCACCCACCTGCACCCAAGAAAGCCTCGGAGAACTCAGCCCCTGATCCAACCCAGCTTTCTGCCCAAGTGCCCGCTGATCAGGATCAAATTCCGAAATCTGGTTGGAGAACTGAAAAGAATAAAGCCCCCTGGACAGCACAGATGTAAAAACTAAATGAAATCAAACTCTTTTGGAGCTGAGGACACTTTCTTTATTGGGCACACAGCAGAAGTGAAGAAACTCAAAGGAAGGAGTCCCCCCCCCTACCCCCCACGGGGAAGCCTCCTGGGGACAGCGGCAAGCTAGAAAAAAAGACTACGCTTTGGAGAAGCAGGTTTTTTCCTCCTAGCAGACTGGTGCTAATAAAACTATGCTGTGCTCTGTGGCCAACGGAAAACAGGTGTTTACAGAGTCGTTGGTTTGCTGGAAATAGACAGGAACAGCAGCAGTGGGATCCAGTAAATGGTGACGAAGAACCATGGCCCCAGAGATCACGGCTGCAGCCAAGACCCCGCCGCCTGTGGACGTGGCACTCTCGATGGGGAAGCTCGTGCTGTCTTAACAAGTATCAAAAATCCAATCATGTCAGAAACCCTCACATGCTCTTCGGGGCTCGCCAAGCCCTTCATGATATGGCT